GAGAGCGTTTTATAGGTAATCCCAGGACTCTCTGTAGAGAGCGTTAGAGAGGTAATCACATGACTCTCTGTAGAGAGCGTTAAGGAGGTAATCCCAGGACTCTCTGTTAAGAGCGTTACAAAGGTGATCCCAGGACTCTCTGTAGAGAGCGTTAGAGAGGTGATCCTAGGACTCTCTGTAGAGAGCGTTTTATAGGTAATCCCAGGACTCTCTGTAGAGAGCGTTAGAGAGGTAATCCCAGGACTCTCTGTATAGAGCGTTAGAGAGGTAGAGAGCGTTACAGAGGTGATCCTATGAGACTCTGTAGAGAGCATTAGAGAGGTAATCCCAGGACTCTCTGTATAGAGCGTTAGAGAGGTGATCCCAGGACTCTCTGTAGAGAGCGTTAGAGAGGGAATCCCAGGACTCTCGGTAGAGAGCGTTAGAGAGGTAATCCCACGACTCTCGGTAGAGAGCGTTAGAGAGGTAATCCCACGACTCTCGGTAGAGAGCGTTAGAGAGGTAATCCCAGGACTCTCGGTAGAGAGCGTTAGAGAGGTAATCCCAGGGCTCTCTGTATAGAGCGTTAGAGAGGTAGAGAGCGTTACAGAGGGGATCCTAGGACTCTCTGTAGAGAGCGTTAGAGAGGTAATCACAGGACTCTCGGTAGAGAGCGTTAGAGAGGTAATCCCACGACTCTCGGTAGAGAGCGTTAGAGAGGTAATCCCAGGCCTCTCTGTAGAGAGCGTTAGAGAGGTAATCACAGGACTCTCGGTAGAGAGCGTTAGAGAGGTAATCCCACGACTCTCGGTAGAGAGCGTTAGAGAGGTAGAGAGCGTTACAGGGGTGATCCTATGAGACTCTGTAGAGAGCATTAGAGAGGAAATCCCAGGACTCTCTGTATAGAGCGTTAGAGAGGGAGAGAGCGTTACAGAGGTGATCCTAGGACTCTCTGTAGAGAGCGTTAGAGAGGTAATCCCAGGGCTCTCTGTATAGAGCGTTAGAGAGGTAGAGAGCGTTACAGAGGTGATCCTAGGACTCCCTGTAGAGAGTGTTAGAGAGGTAATCCCAGGATTTTCTGTAGAGAGTGTTAGAGAGGTAATCACATGACTCTCTGTAGAAAACGTTAGAGAGGTAATCACATGACTCTCTGTAGAGAACGTTAGAGAGGTAATCACATGACTCTCTGTAGAGAACGTTAAAGAGGTAATCCCAGGACTCTCTGTATAGAGAGGTAGAGAGCGTTAGAGAGGTGATCATAGGACTCTCTGTATAGAGCGTTAGAGAGGTGATCCCAGGACTCTCTGTAGAGAGTGTTAGAGAGGTAGAGAGCGTTAGAGAGGTGATCCCAGGACTCTCTGTAGAGAGCGTAAGAGAGGTAATCCCAGGACTCTCTGTAGAGAGAGGGAGAGAGCGTTAGAGAGGTGATCATAGGACTCTCTGTAGAGAGTGTTAGAGAGGTAGAGAGCGTTAGAGAGGTGATCCCAGGACTCGGTAGAGAGCGTTAGAGAGGTAGAGAGCGTTAGAGAGGTGATCCCAGGACTCTGTATAGAGCGTTAGAGAGGTGATCATAGGACTCTCTGTAGAGAGCGTTAGAGAGGTAATCCCAGGACTCTCTGTAGAGAGTGTTAGAGAGGGGATCCAAGGACTCTGTAGAGAGCGTTAGAGAGGTGATCATAGGACTCTCTGTTTAGAGCGTTGGAGAGGTAATCCCAGGACTCTCTGTATAGAGCGTTAGAGAGGTGATCCTAGGACTCTCTGTAGAGAGCGTAAGAGAGGTAGTCCCAGGACTCTCTGTAGAGAGCGTAAGAGAGGTAATCCCAGGACTCTCTGTAGAGAGCGTAAGAGAGGTAATCCCAGAGAGCGTTGGAGAGGTAATCCAAGGACTCTCTGTATAGAGCGTTAGAGAGGTGATCCCAGGACTCTCTGTAGAGAGCGTTAGAAAGGTGATCCTAGGACTCTCTGTAGAGAGCGTAAGAGAGGTAATCCCGGGACTCTCTGTAGAGAGCGTTAGAGAGGTAGAGAGCGCTAGAGAGGTGATTCCAGGACTCTCTGTAGAGAGCGTTAGAGAGGTGATCCCAGGATTATCTGTAGAGAGCGTTAGAGAGGTGATCCTAGGCCTCTCTGTAGAGAGCGTAAGAGAGGTAATCCCCGGACTCTCTGTAGAGAGCGTTAAAGAGGTGATCCCAGGACTCTGAAGAGAGCGTTAGAGAGGTGATCATAGGACTCTCTGTAGAGAGTGTTAGAGAGGTGATCCCATGACTCTGTAGAGAGCGTTAGAGAGGTGATCCCAGGACTCTCTGTAGAGAGCGTTAGAGAGGTAGAGAGCGTTAGAGAGGTGATCCCAGGACTCTCTGTAGAGAGCGTTAGAGAGGTAATCCCAGGACTGTCTGTAGAGAGCGTTAAAGAGGTAGAGAGCGTTAGATAGGTGATCCCAGGACTCTCTGTATAGAGCGTTAGAGAGGTGATCCCAGGACTCTCTGTAGAGAGCGTTAGAGAGGTGATCATAGGACTCTCTGTAGAGAGCGTTACAGAGGTGATCCCAGGACTCTCTGTAGAGAGCGTTAGAGAGGTGATCCCAGGACTCTCTGTATAGAGCGTTAGAGAGGTGAGCCCAGGGCTTTCTGTAGAGAGCGTTAGAGAGATGATCCCAGGACTCGGTAGAGAGCGTTAGAGATGTAGAGAGCGTTAGAGAGGGAGAGAGCGTTAGAGAGGGAGAGAGCGTTAGAGAGGTAGAGAGCGTTAGAGAGGTGATCCCAGGACTTTCTGTAGAGAGCGTTAGAGAGGTAGAGAGCGTTAGAGAGGTAATCACATGACTCTCTGTATAGAGCGTTAAGGAGGTAATCCCAGGACTCTCTGTTAAGAGCGTTACAAAGGTGATCCCAGGACTCTCTGTAGAGAGCGTAAGAGAGGTAATCCCAGGACTCTCTGTAGAGAGCGTTAAAGAGGTAATCCCAGGACTCTCTGTAGAGAGCGTTTATAAAACCTCATATATTGATCATTCAATTTTGTTTCTCAAAATAAAATATAATGTACGAGTAAGTTCATTACTCTGCAACTATAGCACATTAAAGTGCGTCCGATTTGTGATTTTTTTCCGAGCAATATCTATTAGATAAAAAGAAAAATTCAACACGACGGGTTTCCGTTATAATAAGCCCCTTAAGGACCCTGGAGAACAATGTGATTCAGGATACCAGATATCCGCTGTTGTTTTCACTTCTCTTATATTAACAGAATAATTTGAAATCATAGAGAAAAAGAGCATTACCTCTGTTTGATTTTTGGATGAGAAATGAATGGATTCCAAGAAGTAATATTAAAAGAATACAATATTTGATCAAACTATAAAAAAAAAGATATCTAAGACAAGATAATTAATAATATAAAAGTGGAGCAAAAACCACTGCTCCTTTCTATTGAAAGGTGGAGAGAAAACATCTGCTCAATGCTACTGTATAGCGATTATGTTTCGCGGGAGTTTTAATTTCGCTATATTTGCTCTTTGACTAATATCCGCGAATTCTTAACACCAGCGTAATTATCGAAAGTTGTAACCACTTTTACGGACCTTATCACAACATGTTGAAAAAGACTTATAACGCAACGCTGTTATGCAACCTTAAATGAACTCCAATCAGATTATCATCGGACAACTGGGCAGTCCATGTAAAAAGAAAAACAGTAGCCACAACATATTTATGTGTACACAGTAGTAATTAATTGATTGCAGTTTACTCCTTCAAAGGTGCATACACATTTTATTTTATTTCTTGAAGACAATGGCGCGCTGAGGATCAGTGTTTTCAAACGGGTTACCTGTATTTCGAGGCTTAACCCTGAAATGATTACACTCAAAATACTTTGCACGACACATGGTATTTGGTTGCACAGCGAAATTTAACCCCCGCGAATATGTAAATAATACGAAACCGCGAAATATTGACCCGCGAATTTTAAGTGCTATACAGTATTTAGAGGTAAAACCATAACACCTGATTATTGCATTTAAAGGTGGAGCGAAAATAATAGCTCATCGCTCGCTAAATGTTAAAGCTGCTGTTCATTGCTATTTAAAGGTGGGAGGAACGCAACTGTTATTGCTATTCAAAGGTGGGAGGAACGCAACTGTTCATTGCTATTCCAAGGTGGGAGGAACGCAACTGTTCATTGCTATTCAAAGGTGGGAGGAACGCAACTGTTCATCGCTATTGGGGTTAGGAAAACAAATCTGTGTGTTTATGCTGTAAGGTGAGATAGAAACCATATAACTCATTGCTATTTAAAGGTGGAGTAAAACATTTTCTCATTGGTATTGCGTTTGGAAGGTCGGATAACTAATCAACCCATTGCTATTGTAAGATTGTAACATATGGGCCCGTATTCACGTAATCGTTCTCATGCTAAAATATTGTGCTCAAGCCAAGTTTCTTATCCTGGTGTCAAGGTAACAACACATCTCACTTTGTCAATGATTTGAAGGAAATTTTAAGAGACAGCCGAATAATGTTTGCAATGTCTAGACTTGAATTTTTGACCGTGAAACATATAGAGGCAAGTTACAAGAAACTGAGTTTGAGCAGAGAATCGATGCCTGAGCACGGGTACGGCTTCATGGATACGGGCTCTTGTTATTACTTTGTAAATGTTGATGGACTGATCTGCCCATTGGATTTCAAAGTTGGTTATTAGATCTGCTTGTTAGTATTCAAAGTTTGTGCATACAACGTATATTCATTTGTATTTAAAAGTATGTTTTTTTATTATGCTGCCAACATTTTAATGTTTACGTTTATATCAAAGACATGGTAACGAATTTAGCCTTTGTTATTCAAAGTTAGACACAATGATAACAATTTGCCAAACGATAAAATGTGTTTAATTTGAGGTTACACATTTTGTGCACTATACTTATGTACTGGGGAAGTGTCGGGTAAACTAAACCTCCCTGTAGATCACCTCGTTATCACCCAATTCCCCAAAATGATTTCCAATAAAATAGATAAAAGGAACTGCTATAAACAGAAAATTATTATATTGTATACAAAATGTTCCAACGCCTACTTTAGCTGACCCGACCGCACAGTAGGTGGACTGCCGCGACACAACTTCCCTGACTGGCCGATTTTTAAGCGCATGGTAGATGTTCAGTTCAGAAGTGCTGCCGAACTGCCAAAATAGTACATGCATAAATGTATCTTTTTTTACATATACGAACACTGAAGGGACCACTTTAACTTTGGCATATGTAAGCAAAATGAACTGAATCCGTTCTTTACTATAATTGACGATTGACGAATTTTCCCTTTATGTTTTTTCTGCAGTTCACACCCAATGTGCGTTCACCAATTTTGGCATTCAGAAATATAGATCCGAGGTCGCCCGATAAAATGAACTGTCTCGGGCGCTTTATTATTGCTTCGGGAAATCGACCATACTGCAATACATCAACCACATGTGTATATATAGAGAGTGTGAGAGAAAATAGTATATTAGGTTCTTCTTCATAGATAAAGATCTTGGTGATATGTTTTTCAATCGCGTTAAGCACCTGTGCCTCCTCATCTCCGTCTGGTATGTGTCTAATTGACACCTCCTCCACAAAGGTGACACTTTTCACCCATTTCGACCATACAGGTTTCGCAATAATCTGCTGAACAGGTTGCATTGGAGCAAGTCACCATCTTGAGGTTTTTACCTTCGTTTGATCCACAGTTAAGACAGGTTCGTAATTCTAGTTTCTTTTTCCTAAACCTGTCTGCAAATGGTATTTTGCTATCGTATTTCTTCGACATCCGTTTCTCCTTCTTCATGCTGCGGAGATGTTGTTTGAGCTGCAGCTGGTGTGTTTTGCGGTCATGTCGTATCTTTCTGTGTAGGTACACTGTCCTTTCCACCTCCTGTTCTGGGTAATAATAAGCACATATCTTCCTTTTTAGACGAAGACTGTAGGACTGGGACAGAACCGCCACTATTGCTAGTGTGTACACGACAGCGTAAGCATAGAATAGGTTAAAGTTGGGCTCGGTAGGATTAGGGAGACAGCTTGTAACGTTGAAATCAGCATCGTACACATTGTTGAGATTTATCCCTGTTATAAGCGATCGCATCAGCTTGGCTACCTGGCCTGTGCCTGTGATTTCCAGCAGTATGCTGCTCTGTCCCGACAGCTCAATGTTCACCCGACCGTAACGGTTTATAAGATAGACGCAATAGTAGAGTATGTAGTCAAAAAAAACTATGAGGAAAGCGAATATCATATGTAGAATAATTTGTATCATCCCCGCTGTGCTGTTCCGGACCTCCGTTGGGGACAACTTCAGAGATTTGGTATCGGTGTACCCACGTTTTTCTCGTTTCTTCAGTGGAAGGATGAACGATTCCCCATTTGTTTCTCGCTCTTTGTCGTACGCTTTGAAGGCCGTTGTTATATAAACGTTGTTGTACTCATCTTGGGAAATATATGACTTCAAGTAGACAAAGGATTGGATCAACAGAAGAACCAATGTAAGGGCTAGCAAATTTGTCAACAGTGTCACTCCGAATTGTACCCAGTCTATATTATAGTTCAAACTTGCATCCACTTCATCAATAAACTCTCGGGGAGTTTTTGTGGCGTTAGCTAATCCAGAGAGTCCAAGTTCTTTGATAACATCAAACGCAAACCAACTTTCAATTTCATTTACTCCCTTTTGGACTTCTTTGGCGATCCCATTGGCTGCTGAATCCAGAGCCTCCACCGGGGCGCACGCGACTGACCCTATATTGACGACTTGGCATATACCAGACACATCTAGGATGTTACAGACGTCAGTCAACCCCCGCTTGAACCTGTCGGAAAGGAAACAATCACGTTATTGTTATACTTAATAATAATTGCGATCTCGGTTTGTTTTATCTATTCAACACTATTTTTATTAAATCTCGTCACTCTGATAATCATCCACAATAGTCCAGGGGCTACGCTCACTTACTGGGTTGCACCTCTGGAATATGTTTTGACATTACGAAGGCTCGCGGGAAGCTATTTGACTGGTTGATACCTCTCCTTTGAGGGTTACAGCGGAGCTGACACTCAACATCAAGGCCGGTCCATGTTAAAGTTACGCCGCCGCGCAGTTGTTTCGATGTACATCAAATGATTTTCTGGAGTCTTTCGCAAGTTGGCGCCTACACAACCTTCCATTTTGTCATGACATATTTTAGGGGTGAAGAGATTTAAGAGAGATCAACACCTGGCATTTTGTGGATGTCTGACTTTATGTACTGAATGAATATATTTTAAGTTTCGTGCAATCGGTTTAACAGATGGACAGACATTTCTTTATCACCGACAATTCAATATTCCTAATAATTTGTAATGTTATGTTATAGCATTTTTATTTCAGAACATTTATTGTACTGATATATAATATACACACGAAATTGGCCAACAGGCAAAGCCTATATGAAATATAACAGTATAAACACATAATAGAAATGGTACTTTAACCTAAGTTTCATAGCATTATAATAAGAAATTATTTGGATTTTGATTGGACAATACATATTTCAATTATCGCAATTGTTGTAAGAGAGATCTTTCGACAATATAGATAGTTGAGAATCAATGATATCTCATACAAAATCCAATTTTGTAATGTGATGTAAAAGCATATGACATAAAGCACATAACCTTTTAATCCTAGGTAGTTGTAAACCTTGAATGGTGTGAGCACTCTAATGCTTGTATGGCAGAAGCGTTAAACGACCTGGTGACCATTTAACTGCAGCACATGATATTCCAAAGACAATCATAAATGTTTATGAAATTCAACAAACATTAAATATGTATGATTTTCAAGTTGAAACATTTAATAGGTTAAACATCGTTAACCTCGTCACACTGTCACTGTCTATCCAGAGAACTTTATAATATGGCGTTATAAAGGCGTTTGGTAATAAATTGAGGGAAATCTATAAAGGAATTCTTAAGATAACAAGAAAAATGGTCATTGAATATAAGTTGGTAATAAACGTGGAAGTAGATAATTTCCTAGCATGATATTGAGGTTCAACTGTATCAACTGTATCTATTTAAGAAACAAGTCAGAAAAAGGCAAAATACGAAAAGACCAGCCTACCGTGACCGACACTAAGATATGTTTGTGTGAAGTTATATGATTGAAGATAACTACCTTTTATGTTCCCCTTTCATTAGTAGGGCTAAGGTAATGTGCTTGTGTTCCAACATGAACTCTTTAAGCTGCTTGACTGTGTCCCGCCGTTTCCGGTTAAGTCCCAGGGACCCCAGCGTGCTCACACATTTGGTCTTTGCATTGTTTATTTCAGTAACACACGAGGTGTAGGCGCCACTGAATAGCCGTTTACATTCCTGAAGTAACGAAAATGTATTGAAATACAAGTACATATGAAGAGTTTTTGTACATCACTTGATTATAAAAATAACTGGTAACATTAATTTATCGCAGACTTCAACCCGATTCAATACTAACCACTAACTGGTATTGACTTAAAGCATTCTTCATTTACCGTGGACACAATAACAACCCAGACCATGTACCACTTACCGTGTTTATGTTTACTTACAACTGAAGCGGCGTTAAGAGCTGCCTTGGCGTCTTGTGCTCCGCTGTCAATGGCGTTGATGGCGCTGGAAATTGGTCCAAAAGCCGTCTCTATGGCATTTCCGATATCTCGTAGTCCTTTCGTGTTCTCTTCGATCTGATCTGCGGCCTGGTTGATTGGCTCCTGAAGCTGGGTCTTAAGTGAATCGCTCTGGTTGTAGATCACAGACATGCTGCAGGCCATAGCCGCAGATACTTCCTTGGCGTTGTTGGATATGTTTTGAATCGGTCCCGACAACAGAATACTAACAATAATTGTAAGAAGGAGGGCTCGACCACGGGCTGTGGCAAGACTGGGCAGCATGAGTAGGCCAATGCACCGGCAATGGACTGACAAAGCCAGGCCGAGACAGAACAAAAGGGTACAACCCAGAGTAATATATCCTGCGATATCCAGCCTGATACTGTAACCGTAACCCAACAGGAAGAAAAGTCCAACGCCAGACACTACTCCCATTATAATGCCGAAAACAGATTTTTGCCAAGCAAACTGATTTCGTTCACTGGAAAAAAGTTGATCAGCAAAATTTTTAATTTGATTTAAACGTTTCTCTCTGGCCTCGTCTGGTTTTTCTTCGCCATGCATACTTCTATCATTTTCATCGTCACTGATCATATCGTTCTCGGTGTCGAAGTCGTCGGGGCTGTCTGAATCGTCTTCCTCGGTATCAGTTTCCATGTGTGTCTTCATGTCATGCATTTTCATTACAGCCGCATCTGGTTCTAGTGTTGGCCTATCGACTTGACTTTTCTCAGTGTCGATGGGTTCCTGGTTCCTGCGAGATCTAGACTTCGTGAGCCTGCGTATGATATTGGTGGTGAAACCTTCCACCTTCTGAACGTAAGATGCTGGGAAAACCCCAGTTTCATTGGTCCTGCTGTTTGTCCCAATAGCCCATCCATTTCCAACATCTTTGACCTTCCGAAATTTGTCTCCGACCTGCAGTCGTATTTCCTGTTGCCCTTCTGGCTCGAAGTCAGCTATAGCTTCATGAGACATTCTTCCTTATTGTGGCTTCTCTGGAAAAATATATAGTACTTTGTTAGATCGCTCAATGATTAATTCATTTTGTTTGCAGTGTTATTTTGTCACAAAACCAGTCAATATGGAATATGATATTTATCTATTGCGTGTTTTGCTTTAATGAAGAAACAAGCTTAATTAACTTTATAACTTTTGGTTGCCTGAATGGAAGAGCATAGTGGGTCTTAAGATGAAGTTCACGGGGACAGTTGTAAATATATACACTAAAAATGAATGATTCTTCCTTGCTTGGCATTATAACACATAACAGGATAACCCCATCCTCTGTGATTGTGTGTTTTTAACCACTGGTTGGTAATGGTACCATTGAGTCTGTGATGACTCCGTGCTTGTTTGATGATGTTTACATCTAGCCTCATCCTCGATATCCAGGGGTTACCCCCACTTTCGCTCTCTGTACCCCTGGAATCATCCTCGATTTCCTGGATTACGCTCACTTTCGCTCTCTGCACCTCTGGAATATGTCGTAGCAAAATTGAAGGCTCAGTGTGCACCACTTTGTTGATGAGACAAGAAAACTAGTTCGATCCTTTGATGTACATCAAAAGAATTTCGCGGTCACGTAACGGTAGAGATTGATAGGCTTTGCAGTCGGGCGTCTCTCCTTTGTAATCTTCAAAGGACAGGTATCGGCCTAGCGATTGGTCAGTTTTTGTTACCTGAGACCAATCAAACAGCTAGCTTCGTGCCTTCAATTTTACATGTACTATGACATATTCCAGGGGTGTAGAGAGCGAAGTGAGCGTAACCCCTGGATATCGATGATGATCCAGTCTGTGTAAACCCCCTAGCTTGATTGATAACGGTGACATTTTGTTTGTGATACTCGTAAACTCTAGCTTATTTCATTAATAATAACGAATACATTGTCTGTGATCATCCCTGTGTGATAATACCTGTGTGATAGTAGGCGGAAATAAAACTGATAAAGATGGGTGAATCAACTGTTGTCTGATTCTAGAAACAGGAAGTGTGACTATATTAAGACGTACGGATTAAATGATCACACACAACGACATGAAATAAGCACTATGTCACGATTCACGTACCAGTACACTCTCTTTCATAAATCGGTAACTATACATGAATATGATACTATGATCCACAAAAAGTATTGGAGAAGGTTCCTACCCTATCGCTTTATGGCAAGTTCTATAGGAGATTAAGAAGGTTCCTACCCTATCGCTTTATGGCAAGTTCTATAGGAGATTAAGACCTGCGCGCGCTTTCAATCTGGTGAACAAGAGTGATTATTATAGGTTGAAATACATAGTTTCATAATTGTCGTGAAAGAAATGAAGTCTATGTAAAGTAAAATGAAGGATCATACTACAGTTCAACGCACGGGGTTACAGCAATTCCGTCTTTGCGTATTGCAGAGTTATCTTCTCTTGGGAGTAGGTATTGATTGTTACGTCATTGGTTTGTGTGAGAAAATGACGTCGTTTTCTCAAAAAATGATGACGTTACTCTCACAAACAAGTGACGTAACAATCAATACCTGCTCCCAAGAGAAGATAACTCTGCAATACGCAAAGACGGAATAGCAATGATCAGGTCGCTAAATGCTAAGTCTAATAAGTATAACGCAGTTTTCTAGTAGGTTTTGGAATATTAATATTTGCATTTCATGCTGAATGTTTTATTTGATAGGTAGAAGAAACAGCTATACAATGATGAGTGAAGCAAATATCTAGCATGCTAATTGTATTCCGTCAAAATTGAAATTAACAGCATTAATTACAGGACAATGGTTTGATGACACGTGTATTCGTTTCTCACTGGACTGTTAGTTTATGTTACAACAATTTATTCTCTTCTGGCTTTAAGGAAAAAAATGCTCGACCAAGGCGGCCGGAATTCGATTTCCCGATCGGACGTGAAAATGTATGGAGTGACCGAGCCATGCCACTTTTTCTGGGTACTCCGGTTTCCCCCACGTTTAGACCCCTCGCGCGCTAACATCCGGGAAAACAAGAGTGATTAATAGAAGTTGAAATAGCTTGTTTCTTAATAAAGTTTGTATTTCATATATATGTAATAGTCTCTTAATCATTAGTTCGTTTGGTATCCGATTTGTACAAGACATATCGATTGGGAAAATGAAGTATTGAATATACATGTGAATACTATTTTTCAAGTTGATCGACTATATACAATGTGTATATGGCTACTTCTTTCAAATGAATAGCAATCAGTATTGGCTTATTATGTGTGTCGTAAAAATAAAGAAACAAGACGAACATTTTGAGTTCTAAGTGCTGGCCTTTGACATACCGTACTTTAGATTATAATCTACCCATTTATGAAGTGTACGACCTTTATAACGATGGGCTTAGTATGCACTATATTCCCTAGTATAATAACATGTATAACATTGATACGGATGTTATTAGTCATATCGGGATTATGGAGTACTTCACTGATTATTAAACTAGTCAGCTATCACATAAAGTGATTCCCGTGACAAGATTCGATTCTAACCGTATTAGTTGGTCGGTTTTTGTCCTGTGTGGTTTTATTTTTGCATGGATCTATCTTATAGCAGTTGTCGTATACAAACACGCTTCATTCGCTTGGTGATAGAATGGAGTGTTGTTGCGCTATTTATTGAGAGTGAAGATGCATGACATGTTAAGTAAGGTTTGTCAGGTGTAGACTTTCCAACATACTTTATATTATTACCGAATATTACAGGTGATGTCACATGTGAGAGTCGTACGGTTACCTTCTATCAAGTTTGATCAATTGTAGAAAGACGGGAAGTGTATCAACATACGTACATACTAAGTAAAGGCAGAAATAGACTTACTGAAAATCCTGGCTAAATATATTGTTACTTTTAAACTAGGTAAAATTATATGTAGACTTATTAACAAGCCTGGTTATATATATATAAACATACATACATACTAGTTAAAAACATAAGTAGACTTAAATGTTGTTGTTTGTACCGTAATAGTGCTGATCTAGTGTTTATCAAGCGACATTGCTGTCGTAATACTGATACATAAAAATTAACATAAACCCTATCTACAAACTGTGATGAACATATGCGGATAAAATATACATATGTCGAGTCATTTCGTGTCAAGTTTCGTGAAGTACTACAAAATGAAGCTGAGGTCATACAAAAAAGAATGTAAGCTTATGTACTGAAAATTCAACTTTAAAACGTCAGGTGTTGTATAAAAGATTTTACTTACCCAGGTTTTCTAAAGACAGATGGTCCCCGGCATCAAGCTGCTGCCCTGGACCTCAGTAACAAAGCCAGTACAAGAAACACTGTGGCTTATAATGTCTAGCGGTGACACTTGTGTATATAGTATAACTTCCGGGATGGTTAATCATCAATTCGTTCCCCGTATTGATACTAACAGGAAAGTATTAAGTTCGAGTGTCTAAACATCCCACAAACTACACGGACCTTGTTACAGCTATATTTGGCCATAAACTAAGGATTACTCTGAGCACCTTAATATAGCTGTAACAAATTGTCAGGCCCTGTGCTCAATATACTGGGCAGCGTGTAAATGATTGCAAGTGTTAGCTTACCAATGGCGACTGCAACCACTAGTGAAGTCAACTGACAGTGGTGGTTTGAACTGCAGCTGCTAATGGAACCCGGCTGACATTAGTGGTTAACAGATGGAGGTAACACACTCACGCGTGGTGGCACCTTTAGGTGATAGACACATGCACTAAGCCAAAAAGTCATTACACTGCATCAAACAGGTATTTCGTCCTTCTTGAACTTATTGGTGAAGCTATAGGGGACAAAATAATGGAAATTAAAATGGTCTAAACGGCTGTAGAAACAGAGGTGCAGGTGTGTAAAACCCCCGAATTGTGAATTTAATCAAACAGAGGAGTACTGGTAATTTCAAATTAAACAATCTTTGAACATTTTATTATGAACCATGCCACTACAGAAATCCGAATTACTGAGGCCATCAAGGACAAGGTCAAGGTTCAAGCCACTTGTCAGGCTAGATTGAAGCCCAAGCAGTCTGTTTCGTCTACAATCAATGCATGACGAATTTAGTTTGACAAAACGATCTCTAGTTGTCTTCACACTGCTATTGGTTTTAGAATTTTACCTATAATTAACTGACCACCTCAAACTTGAAAACAATAAAATTACATTGCCATGATCGACATCCTTTGACATGGGCACCATGTTAGTGTATTTAGTGTAAATAAGGTCAGCAGGATGTTTTTCTTAATCAGAAAGTATGATTATCAATAAGGGATTAAAACTCTATATGTTAAGACATTACCTTCCCTATCGTACATGTAAGCATTTTAATATATTATTGTTGAAGTATGCAGTTTTATTTTCAAAACTTTATATGGTTTTCAGTTTTAAAGATATAAGTAATATTGTATTTTATTTGAGTGTTTTCCCTTAAGCAGTAATACAATACACACATATTACACTTATGTCTAAACAAAAGTAGTATGGTAATTATGTTACAATTAAAAACTACCCATTTTTATCAGGATGAGCATAAGAAAAACGATCTGAATGGCAGCAAATGGTATATTTCCTTAATATGTATGTTTGATTGTATAAACATGCTACATGTTCGATTTAATTTTATGTTGGATCGTCATTGAATTGTATTGTTCGCAACTCCTGATTGGCTGGAATTGTGTCATGTGATAATAAATGCTTGTTTCTAGATTGACAAGCGTTGTGACGACTTTGCCACCACATGAAATATAAGTGAATACGGCAGACGGTAGATTTCGAAATAGAAAAGTTATTTATCTGATTTTCTTTAAATTTTGAGATCTAAGAATTGGATTTATTTCAGATATGTATGTACCAATACATTTTGATTTCGCGGGACTTTAAGATATAACCATAATGATTTCAGTGTTGTACTGCAGTTTATGCACTTACATTCCCTGATATTTGAAAATATCATTTCATAATAAAACCAGTATAGCCTTTTGATTTAGGTCAATATCTGGCTTTGTTGACTTGAGATCAAAATTCGACAAACATATTTTTATAAACCCGAGAAAAAAAAATCGACCTCGGTCGATATTTTTGGCTCGGGTAATAAAACCATGTATTGACCTCACCAACAGCCTATAATTGTATACTATAGACATGTAACATGTATGATAAGAGAAATGTATACACAACTGGTTGAATATTTGCAGCGAGTCCCCTACAGACATTTTGAAAATGGGTTCTAATAAACGTGGTTTATGAACGAACATTATCCGCTTGTCAATTGCGAGAATGGTTTGATATTCAAAATAAACAGGCACAGTAACTGAATTAGAATCGGTTGTATTTCATGTCCGCTTAGTTTTCCTTCAAACCATCTACATTCTATACATGTTAGATTACCCATACGTTTGTGTCATAGTTTTAAGTAGAACACGGAACTTGACATCCTTCCATCTTCCGGTTTAATGTGATAGCCACTTACTCGGCGGAAACTCATTCACATGTTATCTATCAGCTTTATATCTGTATATTTACATTTGCATGGCATTGTCACTATATAGCCTCTATAAAAGCTGTGTCGTTGATGGGAGTTCAATTAATGTAAATAAACATGAAGGCTGCTGAAATATCGCTGGACATTGTGAGACTTAACAATGGCATTGTAAATGTATGTGCAAAAGACAAAAGGTAAATAAAAAATACTGATCAACAGGGGGTCGTTACGAATGTCTGAAATGCACATATTCTATAGACCTACTGACACATATGTTACAGACCTACTGATATGAGTCACAGCACAAAAACATTTAAGACATTTGAAACAAACTCCTGTGCTCCGTCTAAAGATCACTCACTTCAAACGCTATCAGTTTCACGCGTCTCGCAGCCACGGTTTCCTCAGTTTCTGATCACGACATGTCAAATAACGAGGCTGTTATAGAATCTACCGACTGTAGTCAGATTCCCATACAACCAACAAATAAATTCACGTCAGGATTCTTCACAAAATGAGCAAAGAGAAAAGTTCGAATTAACTTCCAAAAATAACTCCCTCGTGGAGGTCAAGGTCGGATTCAAGGTGTTCACTGTATTTATCCATGCGCGAAATTTGTTCCGGGGAAAAATCGGAACAATTAAAAATCTAACTTTCAGCTCAGATGTCTATTGATAAACTTTAATCCCCCTATAGACATATCATACACAATTGTATTGATACGGAATTGTGGAATAAAGTTGAATTGTTTGTTAAAATTTCAAAGTACTACTTTGTTTGCCAATCAGCACGCGACAATACGCTGTTCAAATTATTGAACAAAATTGTGTGGACTGTCGATAAGGCGGGAATTTTAAATTTTAAGTATAAATTATGAGTTAAAAAAGAACATAAGAGGAGGAAAAACGTAAATATAAGTATTGAACGTGCATTATGTTGTTTGCTTGCAAAGCTGTGTCATTCAAATAGATCATCAATACCATACAAATCTCTTAAAAAAACACGTCGATTTGTTGACGTCATTACTGTGTTATCTATCAGTTTTATATCTGTGTAATACATAGCTACAACACCTCTCTCACAAACAACGTCGATATGTTGACGTCATTACTAATAGAATCTATCGCTACCGGTTGTGTAAGATAGAGAAATCTCAACCCTCGGACTAAGATTTTTTGTCCAGAACTGGGCAAGCCTCGTTCTGGACAAAAAATCTTAGTCCTCGGGTTGAGATTTCTCTATCTTACACATCCAGTAGCGATTGATGATTTTTCTCCCATATCTAACAGTATTTTAATGTGAAATAAAGGTAAACATGGACTCAAAACACATACAGGCAATTTGTTGATGGATTGTTGACGTGACGTCATTGTATTGTTGAAGTGACGTCATGCCATTGTTATGAATAGGGGAATCCCCACGTCTCAACCCTAGGGCGGAGACAGATAAATCTAGCACCGGCAAAACGGGAGATAAATCTGTCAGGTGTGGGAGAATGTGTAATTTATCAGTTTTATATCTGTGTAATACATAGCTACAACACCTCTCTCACAAACAACGTCAATATGTTGACATCATTACTGTGTCATCTATCAGTTTTATATCTGTGTCATACATAACTAAAACACCTCTCTCACAAACAACGTCAATATGTTGACGTCATTTCTGTGCTCCTATCGCGACGTCATCATTAGATTCTGACATCACAATAGATATAATTGCAAAACGATAGTAAAGGCAATAGAAACTGTGAATAATTAAGTGTCCAAATTTTCCTGAATAGTTTCCTATTGTTATTTGAAGTTATTTTCTATAATTCACATGTAGGGTGCACAAAATGTGTTAAAACCTTTAAATATTAACTAATAATGAAATAGACGGAGGAGAATATGGTGATTGAGTCCCTGGTTGACAATATATTTGTTGGGTTCGATGGCACCAGTTTCTAGCACACTACGCATTCCCATGGGAACAAACTGCGCCCCCTTTCTGACCGATTTGTTTGTTTTTTCATATGAAGCTGAATTTATTGATGAGCTTTTCAGTAGTGGTTACAAAAACCTAGCCGAGTCGTTCAATTTCATATTCAGAAAAAGCGTCAGTGTCCTGTCGATAAGTAGCAAGAAATCAAAGGCACTTAAATCTTATCTATGTCAACCGTTTTCCTCGATCTTTACCAACCAACAGCTGAACGGTATGATAAGCGGGACGGTTTCGAGTTCCCTGTTATGAAATTTCCCTTCCTGGAAAGCAACATCTATCCACCACCTTACCCTAATTAGGGTGTTTCCATGTCGCAGTTAAGTCGGTTTTCAAGAGTTTGATCCTAACATCACGACTTCCGTGATATGATACTGAGTTTCGAAACATGCAGGTCGATGAAAACTATGGACAAGTTTTGTGGTCGTCATCAGGATCTCACAGAGATAAAAGCTATTTCTCTCTATGATAAGAAGGTCGATAAGTTTTATTATGCCAAGTAGAGTGGATTGTTATCCCTACCCGAGTTCTCGATGTGAGGACGTGACGTTTCTTGTATACGACTAAGCTATACATCGCTAGCCCTTCCGAATGGCCTGGTCTTATTCTCCATGTACTTTTTCAAGGGTCTCCTTGTAAATATTTACTTGGCTCATACTTTGCTTTAGTTTTATTTAATTTGTAAGATAGCACGAGTTTATTGCGCGGACGATATATTCACGAGTGCGCGGAGCGCACGAGTGAATATATACGTCCGCGCAATAAATGAGTGCTTTCTGATTCGTAAGAAAACACAAGTGAGTGGTCTTGCTTTTAGTAGAGATCAATACAAAGATTTTATAAACTTTGATATTTTTTGCAAATACCGGGAACTTTTCAGTTCGCCATGACAAGGGGATTCCCATAAAAGTAGTTCCGGCTAGTAGGTATATACAACATTCCGTATTGCACATGTGCAATACAGAACGTTGTATTTAATTGTCTGAAAATTGCTTGTATTACTATAATAAGATTCAACAGGTATGTGATAAAATATTTTACATATATTGTATTGTAAAGTTGTACTTATATTGTTTAAATAAAAGGTACAAATATGATATTTTAAATGTTAAAATGTACAAACAATGTTTCAAATGTAATGTAGTTCAAAATAAATATCAAGTTTAAGGTACAATGAACTATATATGATAAAGGACAAACAATGTACGTATGACATAAGAGTAAGGTGCAACAAAAACAGAGAAATATATAAACAATGTATTAATATAAAGAAATACACACAATGTATCAAATATATGAAATTGAACGCATTGCATATCATGTTAATTACCATTGAACAAGATCGTTTTGATCTACCTTAGAACACCCTAGCTTTAAGAATGCAATCACGACGCTTAAAGAGGAACAACTCTAACATACTTGAGCATAACCGCAAAAAAGGTTGATAAACAACAACATACTTTCACAAAATGTCCGACGGATGACAGAAAAAATAAATCTGTACCATATCGTTTCTTTCCCCACAAATGACACTGGAAAAGATCTCTCCAGTAAAATTCAAGAAAGTAAGTAAGTCGCCAACGACCTAAGACATTGGAAGTCTTAACGATGGTAGGCCTTCATAGACCACATGTGGATGTCAGCTAATCATTGGAACTATACAACACAATCAACGTAAATTGCAGTTGATAAGGTTTTTAAGGGATTGCTTAAAATATGATTTCTGTGACAGAAATTGATTGCTGGCGGACAAACTTATAAAACTATAGGATTATGAAGACTATGAACATATTTCACGGTTGCTATCATTATCTTATTGGGAAATGTGCTTTTCCTTTGTCCCTTGCGTCAAAGTTTGTATCATGCTCAGTAGTGTACAAAGGACCAGGCAAGTATCTCATTCCAGATTGTCTATTATGAGTTGAAAGTCATTTATATCGAGTGTAAGCAATGTGCTGGACCATATTTTTTATATTTTTTGGCCCAAAAACAGCTTAATTGGACTTAGTTACATTTGAGGTTAAAGTTTTTGGGCAAGTTTTATTGTGAAGTTTAGACAATAAAAATTACAAGATTTACATTTGACTCATAAACAGGACTGATTCACAATCAGATGCCCTTTGGTCATTTGAAGGTGATATATACTTAAATCTTAGTAGTGCATTTAATATTTTTCTTAGACAATTGTTGTGTTATAACCTTTACTTTTTTATAGTGTACCGAATCCAGAAAGCCTGTTAGGTAGGGGCTGTCCCAATCACCTGCTCGCTGGATTGAAACCTTTGGCAAATACAATGACAGGCACTATGTCAACGCTTTAAATCATTAATACATTACGTGTTATAACAATTCTTAACAAAATTATGATATAATGTCTATACATTTTTACATTAAGATGATTGATCTCTGTTATGTAACTATATGTTTTTATACTGTGTAACTACATACTTGTAAGATGTAATTGCGATATATGACACTGATAAACAAATTGAAATTGACTTGTATTTATAAATTCACGTACTTATAAAAGTTAAACCATAATCTGAATGATAGAATATTTTTTAACAGTATTATGCAGGTTTAGGAAATTAGAAAAGGCCTTCTGTTTCCCCCTATATATTATATGAGGAGACGACTAGTGTGGGTCTACCTGTAGATTATATTAGGAGACGACTAGTGTGGGTCTACCTGTAGATTATATTAGTAGACGACTAGTGTGAGTCTACCTGTAGATTATATTAGGAGACGATTAGTGTGGGTCTACCTGTAGATTATATTAGGAGACGACTAGTGTGGGTCGACCTGTAGATTATATCAGGAGACGACTAGTGTGGGTCTACCTGTAGATTATATTAGGAGACGACGAGTGTGGGTCTACCTGTAGATTATATTAGGAGACGACTAGTGTGGGTCTACCTGTAGATTATATTAGGGGACGACTAGTGTGGGCCTACCTGTAGATTATATTAGGAGACGACTAGTGTGGGTCTACCTGTAGATTATATTAGGAGACGACTAGTGTGTGTCTACCTGTAGATTATATTAGGAGACGATTAGTGTGGGTCTACCTGTAGATTATATTAGGAGACGACTAGTGTGGGTCTATCTGTAGATTATATTAGGAGACGACTAGTTTGGGTTTACCTGTAGATTATATTTGGAGACGACTAGTGTGGGTCTACCTGTAGATTATATTAGGAGACGACTAGTGTGGGTCTACCTGTAGATTATATTAGGAGACGACTAGTGTGGGTCTACCTGTAGATTATATTAGGAGACGA